TGAAAGTATTATATATTTCAAAATTAAAAATATTTTGAAATAAAGAATAAGAATATTGCATTTGATATTTTTTAATACAAATCATATATTTTATTATAGGCAATATTTGCATCTTTGTAATAAATTTTATTCCACAAAATCAGATGTTAATAAAGAATATGACATACCAACAGAAAATATTCGTAATTTTAGCATTATAGCACATGTTGATCATGGCAAAAGCACTCTTGCTGATAGAATTTTAGAATTAACAGGAGCAATAAAAGTCAATTCTGGAAAACAAATATTAGATAAATTGCAAGTTGAAAAGGAACGTGGGATTACAGTTAAAGCTCAAACAGCATCTCTTAATTATGTTTATAAAGGAACTAAGTTTCTTCTTAATTTAATAGATACACCTGGTCATGTAGATTTCTGTGCAGAAGTGCATCGTTCTTTAGCTCCATGTCAAGGAGTGCTTTTGGTAGTAGATGCAAATGATGGTGTGCAGGCACAAACTGTGGCTAATTTTTATTTAGCCATTAAAAGAAGTCTAGTTATAATACCAGTAATTAATAAAATAGATTTAAAAACTGCCAATCCTGCTAGAGTTGCAAATCAATTACAAACATTATTTGACATAAAAGACTCAGATATTTTAAAAGTATCTGCTAAATTAGGTACTGGAGTACCCAATGTCTTAGATGCTATTGTTGAAAGAATTCCACCACCTGATGCATATAGAGACAAACCATTCAAAGCCTTATTATTTGACTGTTGGTATGATAAGTACAAAGGAGCAATTTTATTAATATACATTAAAGAAGGATCTTTATCCATAAGAGAACATATCACTTTTATGTATACAAAAAAATCATATGAGATTAGAAACCTTACATTATTAAGGCCTTTCGAAGAACCTGTAAATAAATTGTAAATATTATTCTTATCCTTCATAATTTTATGAAAATCATTAATTATATAATAATGCATGATAACATATATTCTAGATTTGCAGGTCAAATAGGATGCATTTCATGTAACATGAGATCTACCAAAGAAGCATTTATTGGAGATACAGTACATATAAAAAATAATGTTGTTGAACCCTTATTAGGATTTAAGTCACCAAAACCAATGGTGTTCTCAGGTGTTTATCCAATTGAACAATCAGAATTTGAAGTTATGAGAGTTGCTATTGAAAAATTAACACTAAATGATAGTAGTGTTTCTGTTACATTAGAAACCAGGTATATTTGAAATATATTTTAAGACTATTAAATAAATTGATAAATGTTTTCATTTTAGTGTAGCTCTTGGACAAGGTTGGAGAATTGGATTTTTAGGTTTATTACATATGGAAGTATTTATGCAAAGACTTGAACAAGAATATGGTGCGATTTCAATTGTAACAACACCTAGTGTTACATATAAAGCAAAAATTTTAGGCAAAAAAAATATTAAAAAATACGGAAACGATATGATTTCATTCAATAATCCTGCAGATTTTCCAGACTATCAAATTGTGGAAGAGTATTATGAACCTATGGTATTAGGAACTGTTATAGCACCAAGTATA